AGGAACATTCTGGTTTTGATTAACCAACCGATTTCCACAACTTACAAACGACTGCTGGTGAGAACTTTCCGGGATTATAGGTTGTGGATGACGTGACTCAGATCGTGAGGTAGAACTTTGAAGAGGAGAAGGCGTAGCCATATTCTTTGTAGTGGTTGGCATAAGATTGATTTGCACACTCAGACCTTCGGGAGTGAAGAGAATTGTCCCTGCATCAAGCAAGTCCTGGACTTGGTGCTTAAAAGCTACACAATCTTCAGTATCATGACCAGGTGTCTTAGAATGAAAATCAAACCTAGCATTATCGTCAAAGCCATGAGGGCGTTTTTAATGTGTAGTGAAAATTCGGAGTTTAACCAAATGTAATTCTAGCAGGGGAGGAAGTAATTGTGCATACAACATTGGAATAAAATCAAATTTTCGTTCAGGCTGTTTTGGCCTCTGCTGACGGACTTTGCCTTTTGGGTCCTCTCGGGAAGTGACAACTTGTTGCGGATGGGAGGATCCTGGAATGCACGGTTGCGGAGGAGATACTCCCTGACCTACAAGAGTCCTCAGGTTATGGGGAGGAATGGTAACTCCTATTGTGGCAGGCATAGAAACATCTTCTTTCTTCAACATTATCCCTAAAATTTCCATAACCAAATTCAATTGAGTCTTCAACTGAGTGTTCTCTTCTTTCAGGAGTTCTTGTCCACGGACCAAATCCTGCATGTCTAGCACCACGAATCCCATCTGTTCTTTCATCTCGTCCAACTCCCCACGAAGTTGTTTCATATCTTGAATCTGACCACGAAGCGACGAGAAGTCAAGATTTGCAGCTCTGAAAAGAAAATACCGAGTCTGAATAAGGATTCCCCATTTCTGAATACCTTCGGAGTACCTGCTATGGATGCATGAGGTGAATGAGCGGATGCAATGCCATGTTCAAACATTTTTTTTTGCATATAATCTTTCACATTTCCTTTTTTTGTGTAAAATAAACATGTTATGATGCAAGGTGCAATGACATAAGTTCAAAAGTTCAGCATAACAATTGTACAATCCTCTGGATAACTTGCTGTATAAATCTGCTGAATAATATGGATATCACAGGATCAAAGGTTCAGAACCAAATTCAGCATACAATGGAACCAAGTACCATGATTAACCGTTGTATAATCTCTGACCAAATGGAATATATCAGGATCAAAGGTCCGGAACATAACTAGATAAGCATCCTGAATATCGAATCCGAAAACTCAAAAAATAAATAAATCTGAGACCCATATAGTCACCAACAGAACACCATATGCATAAGTCATTGACAGAAGTCCATAACATGATCATTAGAACCACTAATCACCATCCGATCACAGTCTCCATCTGGGCATGAGTAACCATTTGAACATAGCATCAACTGTACTTGTAATGACAAATCCCTCCCCACTCACGGGTGAAGACTAGGTCAGGGTAAGACAATGGTAACTCGAAAATCATGGGTCCGCCTGAAAGTACTATGGGTTTACCCACAGACGTGGGTGCCGATAGTAATTCATTTGAACCTCATCCGAGCGTGGTATATGACAAGACTGCACTAATCGGACCACGTCCTATAGCCGTCATGCCCCCACTCTATTCCTAGTGTCCTAGTGCACTCTGGCCTGGGTACTGGGCCTTTTACCTCAATAGTAACATCCCCACCCAACATGGAAAACAGAGTCCAGCATAATAGATAACAAATAGGGAAAGCAATAAAATGCAATGCAAACTTATGCTCAGGCAAACATGTACAAATGAGTAAACTAAAAGCATAAAAATAGACACCCAAAGAAAAGAAAGAAAGAGCTAGGAACGACTCCGGGATGGACCAGTATTTGGTCGACCTATCCCCAGTGAAGTCGCCAGCTGAAACAACCGGCTGAAAATCATCAAAACAATGAAGTCGCCATCGAACGTCTTTTATCCCACAGGTAGGGAAAGGTAAACATCGAGAAAACCTGAGAAGGATGAAATCAAGGTCGAACGACCAAGAGATAAGGGTAAGGGAGTCTGTTACGCGAGGGGAAGGTATTAGCACCCCACACGCCCGTAGTACTCTACGGTATCCACTCTTGTTGTCTATCTTATGGGTGTGTTCAATCTATGCTTATTGTTCATTATTGCTAAAGGGAAAGTGCATGAAAAAGAAAAGGAGAAAAGAATGTAGGGAAAATAAAATTATGCTCGTTCGGGCCCTACCCCGATGCCTACGTATCCCTTTTAAGGAATCAGAGCAGCCGTAGTTCGGCTTATGTGTTTTTGTTTGTTTGTATTTTCTTTAACGAACATTATTAATCTCGCCTTCTGCCGCAACTCGACCTTTGGAGATTTACGCGTCAGCACAGAAGTGAATTAATACGCTCTTTTGAAAAGGGTTTGAAAGAAAGGCCCGAGGGCAAAAAGATTTTTATGTTTGTTGGTGTTTTTGCTTGTAGATAATAGCTAGTTAACCTCAAGAGAGAGATTTTAGCCATTTCTCTATTTATTCATGAAATGAGTCTTTGAGACTTGAATCATACCAAAGCTTAGAACAAGAGAATAATAATGTCGAGAAGAAACCCGCTCATCATCTCTCAAACTTAGCCAAGACATGGTTTTTGTCAGTAAATTTTTATGTATTTTTTGAAGTTTGTACAAAAAGTTTTTTGTTTTAACTGCATATGCAAAGGAGGAAAGAAAGTCACAGGAAGACAAAAGTCACAGGAAGACGAAAGTCACAGGAAGACGAAAGTCACAGGAAGACGAAAGTCACAGGAAGACGAAAGTCACAGGAAGACGAAAGTCACAGGAAGACGAAAGTCACAGGAAGACGAAAGTCACAGGAAGACGAAAGTCACAGGAAAACAAAAGTCACAGGAAGAGGAAAGTCACAGGAAGACGAAGTCACAGGAAGACGAAGGTCACAGGAAGACGAAAGTCACAGGAAGACGAAAGTCACAGGAAGACGAAAGTCACAGGGAGACGAAAGTCACAGGAAGACGAAAGTCACAGGAAGACGAATGTCACAGGAAGACGAAAGTCACAGGAAGACGAAAGTCACAGGAAGACGAAAGTTACAGGAAGCCGAAAGTCACAGGAAGACGAAAGTCACACGAAGACGAAAGTCACAGGAAGACTAGCCTATTTCTAAATCTAATGTTATCGCATTAGACCTAAAGTCATCATACCATGCAATCTATGGGAAGTGATAAATGTGGGGTGAGAGTGGAAATAAAACATACCAAACGAGTACTAGCTCGTAGAGCAAAGTAAAAAGCAAAGAAACTTGATGATCTCACGAGCTGCTAGCATCAACAAAGAAAAGAATTAGAAATCCAATGCTCGGAATAAGTGTTGAAGCATCATCGATGTGAAAATAAATCACAATCAAAATTTCAAGCGTAGCCGCATAACGCATAATAAACCTGCATAGGACTCAAATCTCGAAAAACAACAGTGAATCACAAGTCTCAAGTAATCGAATAATTATGAATTAATTTCTATAATCAAATAAAAAATCTAACAAATTTTGACTGATTTTTATCATTTTTTATCATGGAAAGATATATAAAAAAAATTAAAAACAATCCTAAACTCTACCTATTTTTCTTATTGTTTCATTAGCATTAGTCTTTATTAAATAAAGTTTAAAATAAAATTTAAACTGAAATAAAAAAACTCTAAAACAATTAGAAACAGATAGGGGGTGAAAATTGGAATAAGGGTTAAAAGTATATCTTCTAATCCTTCTGAAACACAATTCTCCACACAGCGCTGCAGGGCCTTCTTCCTCAATAGCTCACCGCTGTCTCATAGCCTCCATCTCAGCAAACACCTCCGCAAACCGTCGAGTTTGACTCAATCTCAAACATCTCAACATCTCTTCCGCCGATTCGTTTTCATTTCAATTTTCTCTGTGTTTCGTATCTTTTTATAGATTCAACAACTTATTCGAAACAGAAATTGCAGAGCAACAAAAGAAGATTTACCTATCCGGTAGCTATTCGAAGTGGCGGCGTTAATCAGAAAAGACCAGCAGTATAGAAGGTATACTCTTCAATCTCTTGCCTATGCTATTTCTCTTCTTCTTCTTCTCTTTCGATACTGCATTTGATGTTGATTGATGTGCTGCGTTTCGAAATCAATGAAGATTGTTGTTGTTGTTGTGGATTTTTGTTGAATATGATGCAGCAACTTGGAGATGCAGAAGATTGGCGCGTTGAAACGGTTGCATATATGGGATTGAGACAATGAAGATGATGATGGTTATGAGCTGCAGAAGAAGCTTGTTGTAACTGATGGATGAAGTTTGAAGATTGCAGAGATTATGACGAAGATTGGATTATGGAAGTTGAAGATTGCAGAGAGGGAGCACTGAGAAATTTTTATGGAGATTTTCTTGGTGTGGATTCTTCAAAAAAAAGATGGTGAAGAATGAGATGATTGAGAGGTAATAAAATCTTTTTTTTGTGTTCCCTATCTCCTCTTTTTCTATTTGTGATCTCTGGTTTATATGTACTGGCAGTTTGTTATAGGAGGTTGGTTAACAAAAATTCTGTTAGGAGGTTAAGATGCAGTTAGGTTAGTTATGGTTTGGGAAATGGAAGGTTGGTTACAGTTATAAGTTAGGGAAAGGTTAGTCATGAAAAATTCTGTTAGGAAGTTAGGATGCAGTTTGTTATGCAGTTATAAGTGGTTAGAAGGTTTGAGAGTTTGTTATGAATTGGTTACTGAATGTTAGGTATGCTGTAACTGTTTTTTGGGTTAGTTAAGTTGGTTAATTGAGATATGGTTTTGGGTAGGAAGTTATGGTTAGAAAATTCTGTTAGGGAATTTAGTTGGGGAATAGGTTGTAAGAAAGCTGGAAATTTGTTGTTTAGAAATTCTACTTTGGAAGTTGGTTAAGAAACGGTTAGGAATCTGTGAATTAGAAAGGTTGGTTGAAATTGTGTTAGTTATAAGTTAGAAGTCCTGTTTGGAATTGGTTGGAGTTAGAGGAGTTAGGCTGTTAGAGGAAGTTGTGTTACGGTAGTTAAGAGATGAGCTGGAAAATCTGTTAGAGGGGATGTTATATATGCAAATGGTTCCAGTTGATTTTCCCTCTTCTCTACATTCAAATCTGTGGAAAATTTTGTCAACTCTACCTCATTGGATCCCATTTCCATCCTATTGGAATCTGGAGAAGCTGGGAAAGATTCAAGTAAATTTGAAGGATTCATTGATGGGGAAAAAATAGAATTTGAAGCTTGACAATTAACAATACTTGTATCAGTTTCAGCGTTATCAAGAGAAGGAATAACAGATACAGCCAGATCTTTGGACATAACTTTTACAGGGAATATATCATTTACCATGATATCATCATCTTGCAGTATGTAATTAGGGGGAGGTTGATGTTTAACAAGATCATCATCTTCAACTTGATCCAAACTGCAGGTGGATTCAATTCTTTCATTTCCAGACATTATCTCTGGTACCTCTTCTAAATTTGAAAGCTGAATCTGGTTCATCTTGAGGATTTCCGTGTATAAATTTAGAAAATAGTTCCTCTGCAAAGCTATTCTCTATGGTAGTCTCCACAACAGGAAACAAATCTTCTGAGTCAAGTTGCATTGCTTTAACATCACTATTAGATTGTAAGTCCCAGTCGTCAAGCTGCAGTTTAGTGCCCGAATTAAGGTCTAATTCCATGGGCAGACAAATGGGATCCTCCCCTCGTGAACCAATGTCTCCAACAACTGATAGTTCAGAACAGTACTCATTAAGAGATTCTTCCTGCATCACTTCGATGTCAGAGTGACCACCACATTCGCCTTCATGGGCTAAATTTAAATCATTGGAAACTTGTAACAGAGTATGGGAATGGACATGAGGATTGCAGACATCCAAGTTCAAAGAATTGTTGTCAAAATCAACAACTGGGAGAGTATCATCTTTTATTGGGTAGATGGTGTCTTCATCATCTTCTAATCTTAAATGTTCAACAGGAACATCTGGTGTGTTATCTGATAGAGTCCTTGTGGGTAAGGACACTAGTGAGGTATCTTTAGCTCCATAATCTGAAGACAATAGTAAACATTCTGAATCCACGGGACATGAACCAGAAGAAACTGGTCCAGAATCAGATATTTCTCGCCTAAGATCGTGTGCATCATCATGTGTGACAAACTCATCATAATTTTTTTGCAATTCAACAGCTTGTGAAAGCTGGTCGGAAGGCATGTTTTTAGTTTCTGGTGAGGAATTTCCAATAGATTGAAAATCTGATAACTGGGCTTGCAGTTGAGTATGTTCTTCAATTCTACCTTTTCTGAATGAACGATTATCATCATCTGATGCACAGGGGGTTCCTGCTGACCGAGAGTCTGGCAGCTGAGCTTGCACTTCATTATTCTCTTCACTTCTATCTTGTTCAAATGAACTCATTTCCTCAGATAATGACGAGTCTCCAAATGATTGAGAATCTGAAAATGGAGCTTGCAGCTGGTGTTCTTCTTCACCATTTGAATCAATTACCTTTTGAACATTCAAGAAGCTTTTCTTAGGCCCACACTCATTGTCTATTTCCAACTCAGAGTCTATGGTAGCTAATGCATCCATATAATCATCAACCTCACTGGTCGCGTCATCAGAACGGGAGCAGTCTAGGCTGCCTTCTCTTTCGTTTTGTCCATCATCATCCACTAGTTCTGTTTCATCAGGTACCTTGAGATGCTCAGAAGACACTTCACTTATCCCACCAGGAGAGATTTGTTCGGGCTCCTTCACAAGATATCCATTTGTCTTCATCAGAAGAGATTTGTTTTGTCCATCATCATCCACTAGTTCTGTTTCATCAGGTACCTTGAGATGCTTAAGACACTTCACCTGTCCCACCTTCTTGGATTCTATTCCATTCAAAATTGGTATTTTGGTCGAGTTCTTTTTCAGCAGTCGTCATTTCAGTCTTTTGCAGTGATGAGAAATCAATCCCAAAAAAATGCCAGATGTTATGCTAAAAGTGGGTCCAATACATTCTCATCCTCCGGATAAGAGAAAACATCTGCTGTTTCCAGATCAGCAGTAATAGTCCCAAGCTTTACAGCAAGTGGGTAGCCGGTCTTTTTATAATGTTCAACAGCATGATTGTTTGTATTGACTTGGATTTTTTTTGTATGAATGTGCAGGTCATGAACTGAAGATGAAGAACTTTGGCATGGCATGGAATTAGAAGTTTACTCATGGAATTTTAGCACCTTTAGGATTGAAGAATGTTGTTCAAGTGTATTTTGTAACAGTTCTTTTTTTGTAGAATATTGGTGTAATGGGATTGTAATGATTTTATAATGAATGTTTGATTTGGATGAACTTGAAATTTATAGTGTGAATTATTAATGACTTTGAGCTTGAAATGTCGGGTGATGGATTTTTTTGGACGGAGTTTAAATGACAAAGTCTTGAAAAAATGCTTGAAGATATGAAAGCATCAAATTTTCTTGTAAGGTATTGTTACACTTGAATGAAATTGAATGGAATTGGATAGTATTTTCTTGAATCATGAATGAGAGAGTTCGAATAAACTTTGAACATATGTCAACTTGAATCTGGAATAACGATGAACGTATTTGTAATGCGTATGAACTCCGACTTGAAACAAGACCTCGCAGTCTGTACTTTACCTTCCAAGAAACTCATATGACCAATACTTAAGGCTCCTTGCCAACTTTAATCCAATCAAACACTTTCGAACATCTTGAACTCAAATCAAACTTCAAATCCAAATCACACTTGCATTCTCAATGAACTCCTAACTTCAATCTTGAACCCAAATCAACTTGAATGACAAATAATTTGAATAGTCAATAAGATCTTGATCCTAAAAATTCACAACCTTGCCTTTTGTATCATGCCTCATATTCCACGATTCAATCCACAAGTCTCTTATCGATCGGTTATTTCAACTTGAGATTAGTGTCATAAGGAACATCTTACAGATGGATGATAAAGTCTGAATCACAGAAGAATTCCCTCGATGTGAAACCCTCACAATCTTGATTCCTCGTTCAGACGCACAGAGAAATATCCGGATAAAACATCTCTGAACCATGATTCAATAAAACCTAATTTGATTAACTGAGGAGTAGATGATTGTCATGTCACAGTCATTAATCCTAATCAAATGACAAGCATACTTATAGGAAAGGACGTCATGATTCGAAGTCCACATATGCTAGGTCACGTCCTAGAGTTCTTGACTAGAATGACCTACAATCGGTTGTTTATCAGAAGATAATAGCCTTGCTGCTTGAGGGAGAAGAAGTCCTTTATTGGATATGAGCGCCTTAACCACTATGAAACCCTAGTATCGCACAACCACCGAACTTTGAACCTCAGAGCTATATTGAATGAAATGTATGCCATGTTAGTGACCTAATGAAAAAATGTGCAGATGAATGCAAAAGTCTAAGTCAAAAATACAGGAAATTAGGAGGGCAAATTTTGGGGTGCAACAATCGGCACATAACTTTCCTTGCCCCTGTATTGCCAAATCAACTCAGTATGAGTTGATACATAATGGTATGTGTTGACTCATACGCTGCATGTGTCGACTCATATGTTCTTTGTGTCGACTCATACACTGTTTTTTCCTTCTGTTTTGGTCCTGTAAAGCAGTATGTATCGACTCATACAGCTATGTGACGACTCATACTGTCATTTTTTCTCTTTCAAAATTGTTTTGCTGCATACACGGGTTAGTTCTAAACACATAATGAAAAGAATGGAAGATAAACAAAATGTTATCTTCAAGGACAATGGTTACTATACTTTGTCTCCAAAAAAGGAATTACTAATGATGATTGAAATGAAGAACTAAAGTCAAGAAACTTACCTTGGAGCTAGATCTTATATTTTAAGTTTGATTTGTTGTTTTGACTGTTCTTGAACTTTGGAAAAGGAAGCAGAGGTGTTGTAGAAGCTTGTTCTTGAGTTTGGACAATTTCTAGGTGATGTATGTGAGGTTCTTAAATGCTTGGATAGAGTTTGCAAAGTGTGAGAGTTCTGGATATTTGGATTTTAAAACTCAAGAGTGGAAGTTTTATGGACTATTATGGATTTTGGCGAATATGAGATTTTGAGGGTTTATCAATAAAACTTCTGGCTTTTCTATCTATTTTTTCTAACCCTTTTCTCTTGCAATTGGCCTCTCTATTTATAGAGAAGGTTTGAGACTTCAAACAACTCAGATTTTGAATCACATGTTATGGTTACTTGCTCGTTTTTGAAGCAAGAATGAAGAACATGTTTCCAATGCTTGTACTAAGCTATCGAAAGTGGTTGATCACTTTAAACATGTTTGTTCTGACTTGTAGAAGTTGAGTGTGATTATAACAACAAGTTAGAGGCTCAAGAAATTGACTTTATGATTAAAGTGAACTTTGCAAGAATGGCAATGGTGCCTTTGTGCCAAAAATGGAAAGATGCAATGGACAATACTTGAACCACTTGGATAATGGTTCAATCAATTGTGTAAACATTTGATTATGGATAGATTTTCAAGTCAAGAGGTCTGCAAAGTGAAGATTATGTAGCATGGCTAAGATTTTTGTTCCTTGTTCATCACAAATCTGCCTTGTAAATCAAGAATGAATGTCCAACTTCAGATCCTTGTATCTCCTATCTCAAATATGATAAATTCATGCTCTTGGATGTTTTGGAAAGCTTGAAACACCCTCTATAACTTTCATGTTGACCACTTTTGTTAAATGAAACTGAAGTTTGACTGTATATTGGCCATGGTTGACTTTTTCCCAATACAACTAATTTTTAGGTCAACTGTTTAATTGACTGATCAAAAGTGTGATCCAAGGCTTGAAACTTGACATGAGTAATCTTGGGGGTCCCTAATGATCCTTGAAAGTCATATGAAGCATTGATAATACAAAAATCCTTATGCAAACTCAAACCCTAATTTTGGTCATCAGTGCATGAGGAGATGTCTTGAGTTGGTCAAACCCTAATCCAGTCTTGAGTCAGAGAAATTTTGTGAGGAAATTCTTGATAAGTGAGAGGGAGAATTTTGGGGTACAACAAGTACCATGATGGATCGCTAGGGCACACTAGTGAAAAATGAAGAGCCTTCAAGTACAAGGTACAAGAGATGGTTGATCAAGAGATTTTTCATTCGCAGATGTTCCATATATGGTGAACAACTTCCTGTCCAAATAAGTGTGAAGATTGCAAGAATTATCTCCTCAAAGCTTATAGATTATACAAGATAGCTCATCCTTGAAGAAAATCATTAGGACACTTTATCATTTGCATTTGTAGTTTTTCCTTGATTGCTAAGTGTTTATTTTCTTTTAAACATTCTTAACTTTAATGGTAATATTAATGAAATTACCATGTATTTGTTTTGGATCAATCCATTTGTGTTTACTCATTTTTTTCTTTTATCGCAAAATATATATATATATATATATATATATATATATATATATATATATATATATATATATATATATATATATATATATATATATATATATCATTGTTTATTTCATTCCTTTTTCTTTATCAAACATTTGTTTAAGCAAAAATTGGAGGGAGAATGATGAAAAATGAATACCCTTAATTGCTAACGGTATGCTTTCGAATAAAACATTGCTGATGATGTATAAGCATTGTTTCAATTTCTAAACACCGAAGATATAAGGAAGTTAACCCCCACTCAACCCCTTTGAACCTAGAAGTTGGTGTTTTTTTCTATATGAAAATACCCTTAATCTTAACCTGTCGAACTCAAAATCTATCAAGGTCTTTCCTGTTCTTTTCACCCTTTCCTTATTGGATAAAAGAAAATTCGGTGGCTACTATAGCTATCCGCAACATTTATGATAAAACGTAAAACAAGTCAATTCTTCCACCGTATTACAGAACTGGAAACTCTGCTGGGGATGTACTTAAAAAAAAGGGATTACCTTAGAGTCTTAGATCAATTTTACTTGCTTTTACTTGTCTATTTTATTTTCTTTAAAATTGAGGACTGCTTGGGTTTAATTTCTTGCAAAGATCCTACACCCAGATCTAGGGTACCCTAGGTAAGTAAAAATAAATCATGGAAATTATATGGCGTACACCGATATGGTTGAAGTGATAGCTACGTTAGTGTGACACTTTGGTTTGTACCTATGTTCCCTGAGTCATTCGAGGATAACATTGGGCTTCCGTGTGGTGTCATAAGCCCTAACTGAATTTTAGAACCTTAATTGATCAATATTGGCCATTAGAAGGTAGTGAGATATCCGACTTTGGTGCATTCCAGAGTTGGTTGATACTCAATGCTACACTCATTGAGATTCGACTCGCCGGGTGTTTTAGTGGCAAGTCACTTGCTGTACTAAAATAAAATCTTCGAGAAAGATCTGTGATATGAGATTCCTAGAACTCGGTTACTATTTTAGGACAGGTTGAGCCAAATGAACTTAAGTAGGAAAGGGTACTTACCTACAGACCTCATCCAAGCCTTTAAACCTAAGGCCTTTGTGTGATTTGTTTATGTTTTCTATATTGTTCAAACATGACATCATAACATCATACCATGGCATTTTTCACTAACCCTTTTCAAGGATCTTAGGGACCTGTGGTGCATGTTTATCATGAACCAAATTTCTAACAAGGGGCAAGAGGATTTATTTTCCTCTAGCAAGATGCGGTCAAAATTAAAGTACGTCCTCGTGAGTCAAAAGCTAGGACTCATTTGACATGGTGAGCTTTACCCTTATAGAGGAACATTCAAGATGAAGACCCGAAGCTCTTCAGACAAAGCTACAGACTCAACTTCTACTATTTCATCTCTTTTTTGTTTATCCTGTGAGATCCTTGAAAACATTGAAAATGCATCCACATACCATACATATCATCACATAACAGGTATTCCTAAGACAGGTATTCTCATCTTCTTACTATTTTTTCAGTAAAAGATGGCTCTCGAACAAACTGTCAAGGATCTTCAGACTCAGAACGATCAATTTCAACAAATGTTCATGGACTTATCCAAGGGGCAAGAAGAGCTGAAGACCCTCATCACCAAAGATATGAAGAAAAAGACTAAGAAACCAGCCGTCATCCTTAATAGGAGTAGAAGATTCAAAGGCTCGGTCAGGAGGGCTCTAGATTTTGAGGTCCCGTCAAATGAAGATGATAACCAAGAGGAAGATGATAA